CTTCGTGAGCTTGTAGGCATCAGTTACTCTGTTTTTCCAAGTGAAAAATCCTATATCTCACATTTAATCTTGTCTCTGGGAAAACTAGATCCTTTGCTACAGAACAAAGCTTCTGAATTACTGACTTAATGCAATAGGAGACTAACACTTGGCAAAGAATATATCTTTTGTGTTTTTTTTTAATGAAAGGTTAATGATGTCATATCTTGTGCACTTCTATTTCATTACCATTCGTTTATATTTTCAGATAGTTTTGGGTCATAACTACTGCAAAATTGTAGCTGTTTTAATGCCACTGTGAGCTTGTGTCCGGTTTTAGCCCATCTTACAGCAATATGGAGTTGTTGCCTGGATTTCACTGGAAGGCCATACAGGTTAGTCCATCTTAAACCAAATTCAGACAGACCATGACTCTGAGATGAGAGATCCAGTAAGACAAACATGAGACCAGAAATGGAGATTAGCCAGGGCTTCAAGGAAGTTTAATACACAGAAACCTTTGGTGAGAGCAACAGACTTTCAGGGCATTTTGACTTGGCTCAATCGATAGATATAGTACATGAAACATGAACCTGAAAGGGGAATGTGTTTTGGACACTAGTTTTGCTTGATAGAAAGCCTAGATTTCCTTTGCTCAAGTTTTTGTTGTGCACAGAAGAACATACAGAGGGGTCTCGCTCTGAAAGAGGCTCTGTGAGGAATGCTTTCAAAGTTGATTGAGTTAAAATGTGAGTGTCCGTGACAAAGACCTTCATCTAAAGAACCACTACTGTCAGACACGTCCTTGTGTTATTGCATCTCTAGGTGGCGGTCTAAATGCGTAGTACTGCTAGAAAATAGTTTTAATAATTATATTAAGTCCTTTAAATATGTTAATGAGAGAGAGCATTATTATAATATTTTCATTTGCATAATAAATTTGAAACTTTTGGGGCATTTTCCAGATATGTTAGACTGTTTGTTTGTAGCATGGATTTACAAGGGAAGAACATGTAATTGAAGAATGATACTCTCCATTTGAAGAAGTACCCTACCAAATTACTGTTTTGTCTTCAATTTAATTTTTACTTGCCTTGTTTTGATAAGCTGATGGACTTTCTTATGGGAACTGTGTCACTTTTTCTTGTGGTCGTTTGCATATAAGCACTGAATCTATTAAATCCATTTTGGAAAGTGCTTTGAAATGTCTTCTCTCTGTGAGAATTAGGTGTGTCTATATGCATTTCTGTGTTAGGGAACAGCAAGAAAGTAAGCCAAGATAATTTTTTCTCTTCAGTGGATTTAAACGGAGCTTAGAAGAGCCATACAGTCTCTGTTCTTGGTTTTGCAGGAGGCAGATGGAAGCCAAGACTATGCAGAGCAGCACCCCAAAAAGGTGCTGTTTTCCCTCTGCAGTCCTTCTGCAAGGCTATTGCACAGGAGGATGGGGAGTGGGAGGTGTGAAATACAGACCAACAAGGTACCAGAGTTTGAGGGAGGAAGGGCAGAAGGATGAGAACCATGAGCTATTTGACTACAATGATTAACAGAATTTTTGAGAATAGGGA